CCACACACACACACACATGCACACATCCACACACACACACACATGCACACATCCACACACACACACACACACGCACACACACACACACACACACACACCTGCACACATACACACCTGCACACACACACACACACACATGCACACAATGTGCGCGTACACACGTGTGGGCACGCACGGATACGCACGCACATGCACACACACACACACACACTCACACTCGCACACGCACATGCACACACAAATACACACACACACACAAATACACACGCACACAGACACACTTATAAACATACACACACTCACACACACAGGCATTCACGTACACATACCCGTGTCTACACACATATGAAGTAACGGTAGATAACTGCTTACGCTTCAGATAGATATTTTGGAAATAGATTTTCCTTTTTAATAATTTACTTTTCAAAAGCTTTTTTTGCGCTACCCTCAGCTTCTTCTTCTTCTTTTGTCTTACCTGTTTGCACTACAATGTGCATAAACATCTTATCTAACACACAACTGATATCATGATCTGTCGTTTTATGCGAAACAAAAAAATCCTGATATTATGCAAACTGAGCCCAAAAATATAAAATTATGCCATTCTGTTAATTTTAACAAAGAATGATAAAGGAAAATAATCAGAAATTATGAAAAAAATTATCAAATTTTGCTAAATTATGTGGGGTGCATAAAACCACGGGGACAGCATGATAGATGTGTGCCACAACCCAAGGTCTCTTAATAAGTGCCCGCCTATTTTGGGCATATGGAGTTATTTTATTGGTATCATCTTAAAGAAAGCTCGCCCACTTTTCTTGCTGTTGAAGATAAAAAACAAAACAATTATCCATCTTGAATAAAAGTTGAGATTTACTAGACTAAAGGAGATGAGGGCTGTCTAGCATCAAAGATAAAAGTAACGAGAAATTGCCTGCCACAGTTTGGTGACATATTCAAAGCTTGGGTAACCTTGGAAACTGCAAATTTACAATTTATTTTGTGTTCCGTTATTCCCCTTTGTGTGTGTGTGCGCGTTGGATCAACTGTTTTCAGTAAATCATCTCAGAAATGCGTGTTCTTACATGGACACCCAAAAAAAGATGTTTCCTGTTTTCATGACGATGAGCAACATGTTATTTGTTACTGTCTCCTCCAATCATATTCCGTTCATCTTTCTCATTTTGTGAGGAATTAAATCATTGTATGCCCACCTGTGCGACAAGTTTCTTCAATATGTGGATGTACTTTTGCATATATTATTATTATGGCATCCAGCATGTGGGGGTCGGTTGTTGTTTCATTTCTCTTTGTTTGTGCTCTTTTTTAAAGCTCCCTCTATGTAATGTTATTTCTTTTTATTTGAACATTTGTAAAGCACATAGAGCCTGCGGTTCTCCTGCATGGAAGGGTGATGCGCAATATAAATGCATTAGTATTGTTATTATTATCATCATCAGCATCATTGTTATTTTGAAAATATCGTCGTCATTATCATCATCATCATCATCATCGTCGTCGTCATCGGTATTGTCATTATCACGTCAGTGTAACTGTTTTTTATTATTGTTTTAATAGTAGTTATGTTATTCTTATGTTATTCATAGCAGCAGTAGAAGTACAGCTACGTATGTTTTGTTTTTCATATATGTTCAGTGATCATGGTGTAAAGCGCTTCTTCATTTGTATGTTTATTAAGCGAAATGTTTGACCAACACACTTAATCAAATTATTTTCAGAAAAAATATATTTTGCGAAAAGAATACGCCAAAATAAGATAAGATAAGATAGTACTTTATTATCCCAGAGGGAAATTTTCCTTGGCTGTACAGGACCATAAAAACACATGCAGGTATACATTTAAAAAAAAATTTAAATTTTAATCATATATATTACTCTCATTAAAATTCAATATGAAAGGAGAAGTAAAGCTGACAAACTGTACATTTACATCAAATGCATCATTCAACCACATGCAGGAATTTAAATACTAGACCTTTGGAGTTATGTACAAATCCTCACATGTTATTTCAAAAGCGAAAAACTGTGGATAACTCCAGCTAGGACGCCTGTGTTGAACTTACCTTCAAGTTTTTATTACAAGTTTCACAAGTGCTCAGTATGGCCACCACTGGAAAAAACAACAACATCCTGCTGATATAAGAATTCTTCCCAAGAAATTATACATATCCATACATACATTTCCATACAAACATATCCATACATACATATCCATACATACATATCCATACATACATATCCATACATACATTTAATCTGACTCTTTACTGATTTTTAACATGATTTATTTAGCTGTACATGTATTACTTATTTTTTGTCATTGCATTTGGTATTATTTTGTAAAAAAATTTTATCGTTTTTTATTGTTATTATTATCAGCTGATGCAGTTTTATTTCAATGTTTGTGTTTTTTTTTTTTTTCCCTTTCCCAGCTGGACTTGCGTCTAAGTTCCCGGCGTACGAGAGAGTGTTGCTGCGAGATGGTAAGTCCCTTTCAAACCTTTTTTTTTTTTTTAGCCATGATAGTCAAAATTGCAGTGGGTGGTTGGCGGGTGCTCTGGTGTGGTTTGCTTCTTCTTTCCTATCAAACATCTATCGTCCTTATCTCCCCCTCCTTCTTTTTTATGTTTGTTACTCTCTTGTAACACCTCTAATCTTCTGGCGCTCGTATGACCTTATGCAGTTGCGAGCGCCGTAAAACCTGTACTAAAACAACAAAATTGCAACCTTTTCTTGTTTTGTTGTGTAAAATGATTTTGGAAAAGTGTTCTGTTGTAATGGCCAAAATTGTTACTGGCAAGATAGGAGGCGAAAGTTCAATTTCTAAGGCTTAACACTTTGCCGCCTCATCTCGTCGATTGGCGATGTTTACCTCCCTGTTTCTTTGGATTTTCCCCAAAATGTGATGGTAAAGTGTTAAGGGAGGATTTTTGTACTGGGATGTCATTTCTGCTTGCTCTTCACTATGAATTTGTGAAGAAAAGATAAAAGCTCCTGGAATTTAAGGAAAAAGGCCCCTTGTAATGGTATGGGACATAATCCGTAAGCCACCACAGTTGCTTGTCCATTATATTATCAGTTGTTTCCCTTTCATTGTAAACACTCCATGAGCAGTTCTGGCATTGTCTCGAGATTCAGGGCTTCTGGGAACATAGGGTCTGGGGTGTATATGTGGCGTCGGTGGCCTAGTGGTTAGGCTCTCGGACTCGCAACTGTAAGGTCGTGGGTTCGAATCCCGTCAAGGGCCC